CTTTCCCCTTCCTTCCCCTCTCCACCAATCAGCGAGCACCGCCCTCTCCCCTCTCCACCAATGAGAAGCGCCGCTCTCTCCCCTCTCAACCAATGGGAAGCGCTGATCGCGTCGCCCCGCCCACTTCGCCGCGCAGGCGCCGCGCGCTCTTCCGCCTTCCCCCCCCCACCCCTTCGATTTAAAGGGCCCGCGCTCCCTTTCTCCGTCTCACCGGATCCTTTTCCCCCTCCCCCCGCGCTCCGGGACCCCGGTAAGACCCCCCCGGCCCCGGTTTTTTTGGGGGGAAGGAGGGGGGAGGCTCGTTTCCGTGGCAACCGCGCAGGCCGTGGCCTACTCGAGGGGCAGGCTGCGTTTCCATGGCAACCGCGAGTAGGCCGCGGCCTGGTGGGGGGGGGAGCGTCTCCGTGGCAACCCCAGAGGGGGCGTGGCCTAGAGGGGGCGTGGCCTAGCCTAATGGGGAGGGGGGAGCATCTCCATGGCAATCCCCAGAAGGGGGCGTGGCCTAACAGGAGGGTCCTCTAAGCCCCGCCCCCTTCTCTCCCCTAGGCCGCCAGCAGAGCCCCGCGATTGGCCGAGGAGATGGAAGGCGGAGCTTCAGCCCTGGAGGAGCCGGCCAATGGGCAGGCAGCACCCGGAGGGTCGTCCAATAGCGAGGAGGGAGGGAGCCCAGCAGCCAATGAGAGCACAGGATGCCAGGGCGTGGCCGAGGAGGCCAATCAGGAGGCTGCTCCTCCTCCCGCTGCCCCGGCCAATCAGGAGGCGGCTCCACGAGGACTGACCAATGAGGAGGCAGTGCTGCCTGGGACAGCCAATGAGGACGCAGCCCTCCCAGAACCAACCAATGAGAGACCAGTGGATGGGGCGGAGCCGTCCAATGAGATCGCAGCCCTCCCAGAACCAACCAATGAGGAGGCAGCGCCACCTGGGCCAGCCAATGAGAACGTGGCACCCCTGGAACCAACCAATGGGAGGCCAGTGGGCGGGGCGGATTCATCCAATGAGAACGCAGCCCCCCCAGAACCAACCAATGGGACGTCTCGGAGGGGGGCGGAGCCATCCAATGAGCTCGCAGCCTCCTCGGCGCCGACCAATGAGAGGCCGGATCCCTGGGACTGGGCGGGGGAGGAGGCGTGGC